CTACAGCCATAGAGGGAAGAGGATTCATAATCAGATTAATTGAACCTGTAACTATTTCAATTCCATCCGTTTCACTTGCAAGTATTCCAGAATAACTGCATCTGCCAGAGGGAGAGACAAAAGGAGGATGAACTGGATGTAGTGTGTTGATGATGAAATAAGGCTGGGTGTTTGTCTTGGACTCTGTACCATACCCTGTGCAGTGAAACATGCTAGAGTCAGATATTAGCAGTGTTAGTTCCTGAGGTTTCTTTGCTTCCCGATCAGAAAATGCCAAGCTGGTGGGCATCAACTACCCAGGGAGACCCATCCTCATTCTCTCGGAATCCCCCTCCATTGTCTCCTTCCAGACCAGATGCCAATTAAGAGTGCGATTAGACTATTGAACTCTTGTCTCTGCCCCTTCCTGCCTGGCCCCCACACGTGTGCACATACAGGTGCCATCATGTTCACGTCTAACTGCCACAATTGTGTTTCAGTGGTGTCATCTATACTTCGTGGTTGACTGAAGCATTTAGTATGGATAATAATGAAGATTTCAGTCTTTTGAAATGAGATTTGCCAAAACAGTCTTTTTCTTCTTCTGCCCAGCCCCAGGAAAAGCAGAAATAATATAATAAAAAGTACTGCTTTTCCGTTTCCAAACCACTTTCATAACATCATCTGGTTTAATCTCAACAACTTTGTAAGGTAACTCTTATTTCCAACCTTTTGAAGAATCTGAGACTAATGACTTTTCTTAAGATTACGTGGCAAGTAAATGACAAAGCTAGAACTTGAGCCCAGGTCTGATTGGTTTTAAATCTGCCTGTTTTATTTTGCCACCATCACCTAAATAGCCGCGGTTCTGCTTTCAACGTAGGGTGTGTGATGCAGTGTTTGTTCTATGTTTACAGCTAAAGGAGGTCACAAAAATGACTGCAATGTTGCAAAATAAAACCTAAAACAGAAAATAGAGAAACAGATTATTCGTCTGTAAGGGGAAAGGCTGAAGAACAGTGTAGTAATAGTCTGCTAGTCTAGTGGAGCATCTGAGGATTCAGCTGTTCTTAATCTGCAGGGAGGCCAGGCCTGGGGAGTAAAGGGGGAAAAATGTTAAACTGTAACAGGAGGGATAAGAAAGAATTTTGTAAAATATTGGGTTGGTTAGAGAGTGTGTTAAGTTTCTTTTTCTGGCAGCTATCAAAAATTCCTATCTTTACAAAATATTCCTCAGTATGATTCCTCCAGAAGCAATGGATTTCAAGTAAATGACTCCTCTTAGTAACCACTCTCTGTGACCAGTTTCTCACTAAACATAAGTAACCCAAGGAAAAGAGAGCTTCCATCCCCATCCAGTCCATATAGGTGCTCTCACAGTATTCAGTGGGCAGATCGAGGAGCTACCAGACCACCCATTCCATTGCGTAGTCATTCAGCACATTTATTGAGCAGTTACTACAAGCCCGTCTTTGTGGTAAATTCTGTAAGATAAGATATTCATCAGCCACAATCTGAACTGATTGTGACTCTATCTACTATTTAAAGATACATAAATTAGCACAAATGGCCTCTAATGCAAGCCACATATTTTGTCTTACACTCATCTGGAAAAAAAAAAAAGAAAGAAAGAAAGAAAATAGCAATCCTTCCAGTTTAACATGAGAATAGGGGAGAAGAGAGGGAACTGGTAGTGCTGGACTTAATGTTGATGTCCAGTATGGTCAGTGCTTTTCAAGAGCACTTTGACAATCAGAGTTTCCCTTATCTTGCCAATCAGAGAATATGAAGTCTGTATCACAGACACTGTTACAATACACGAGTTACATATACCATATCCCCACATACCACGAATGATTGTAGAATTTTGCATGACAAAAACTGAGCTAGGTATCAGTCACTGTGTGGATGGCAGGTACTTGGGAAATAAGTATAAGAGAAGGCTTTTCCTTTAAATTTATAGTCAAGTTAGGAGATGATGTGTTCATATGACTGAAATCATAGTACAAATGGTTGAGGGCTCAAGTGCATGTCACAGAGCTGCTGTCACAGTTTAAAACTGGTGATAATGGGAATTGGTGATAGCTATGAATTTTGTGGAGAATTTTGCAATAGAGTTGGAATGTGAAGGGCAGATAGTTAAGGGCATTGTGGGTAGTCGGTAGGAAAGGTAAGTGGTGGGCACATGGAAAAGACAGAGACAGGACTGAAAGATGGTCTGCATTCAAGTCTCCACTGAAGAATGATGGTTATACGATTGCAGGGGTGGAGACAGAATTGGGCCAGATTGGGTCTGTACTTAAGAAGTTTGCACTTTCCCCAGGGGTAATATAAGATAAGCAGTGATATGGTAAGTTTGGGAAAATAATTTTGTAGATTTTAGTTTTATTATGAGGTTTTTCAAATAATGTTTTAGTTTTTTTAAGTCACATAAATGATATAAGTTAATTAGAGAAAATTTGTAAACTGTAGGAAAAGTGAAAGAAATAATCTTATTGATAATTTTTTGTGTAAACTTTGAAATTATTTTTCTATCAAGATAGTTTTGAAATTCTGTGTATTGGCTTTAAGAACCTGTGAAACCATCTACCTTTGTTGATGTCCATTTACTTACTTCCTCCCTGCAGACCTTGGTTAGGGGCCAGGATGAGTCTTTATCTCTGCGCCCCAAGCACCTTGCAGGGCTAGGATGCACTGATGTGCATAGAGTTTGTGGAAGCTATGAATGGTTTCTAATTTCACAAGGACTGCTTAATAGAAGAAAGACAGCACCTGCGTCAGTGCAGTTTAGTCAGTTCCCCCTGGATATAAAGATGAGAAAAACCAGTTATGAGTGGATGGGCTGGCACTCAGCATTGAGCTGTATGGGTGATATATATGCCAAAGTACTTACGAATTGTAGTTTGAAATGGACTAATCCCATAATTCTCAGCATCATCAGGGAAGTTGTTAATAGATGCAAGTTCTTGGCTCCCAGTTCTAGGCCTCCTGAATCAGAAACTCTGGAACTGAGGCACCACTATCAAACAAGTCCTCCTAGTGATTCTGATAAATGCTCAAATTCGAGGATCACTGGATTAGAAGAACAGGAGCCTACAGGACTCTGATGTTGGAAGTGCACAGCATAGAGAGATTGAAAGCCCACAGATACGTGATATCAGTGAACATAATCAATGAAATGCCATAGTAGCTGAAATAGGGAACCTATTAAAAGATTATATTTTTACAAAGAAATTTAAATGTGTTCTAAAACGGACAAGATCCATTTGTCTTGTGTGGGTCACTGCCTTCCTGATCTGATCATTCAACTAGAATTAAAATAGATTAGTCCAGTGAGAAGGAACCCATGTTCAACATCCCCACCCAGATTTTTTATGCCATATTCACAGAACTGTCTAATGAACTTTTCCACTTAGCTGTCTCATGGGAGCCTCAGATCTCCAAAGCTACATGTATCTATTATCTTTCCCTTCTAACCTGTATCTCTGCATATTCTCCATTTCAGAGAACTGGTACTTTCTGTCAGTTACTGGTGCAATCCACTCAATTACTCAAGTCAGTGCTGCTTGGCTTATTTCTCATGAAATCTTGTCAATTCTGCCACTTTATAGCTTTCAGAAGTACCTCTTTCTCTCCATTTCCACTAATAACCTTTCCAACTTAGACCATTATTAGTTACTAACTAGATCATTTTAACCATCATCTTAACTGGTCTATATGACTCCATTCTTTCGGCCTCAAATCTGTTCTCAGCAATGCCAAAACAAGCTATGTAAAATGGAAATATTATTAGTTGTTTTCTTACAAACTGTCCAATGGCTCTCCATGACCATCTTGATAAAATACAGCCTTCTCAACTTGGCTCTTAGGGCCTTGAGAATGGGTCCTGTGCTTTCCTTCCTAACCTTATCTTTTGTCCTTCAACCTCCAGTCTTTGTCACCTGGTCTTCCCTCTGTCTAGACTGGTGTCCTTACCTTCCTTCACTGGCCTGGCACCACTTACCTTTCAGTGGCTGCTTAGGTATTGCCTCTCCATAAAGTCTTTTCTGATTGTAAGCATAATGCCTTGAATTTCCGCTCTCGTATCACTTACCACACCTTCATGTAATTGTCTGACATTTTATGGAGCTCACTCTTACCTGGTCTTCACCCCACTACGTTATAGTATCCACAGGGGTTGAGACGGTCCGATCTATCATTCTTTCACTGGCTCTTTTTAACTGCTAAGTAGCAGGTGCACAGGCAAGAACACATGGTGAAATAAGTAATAAGTAACAGTTTCAATACAGGCATTTGAAATAGCTTGACTGGGTGGGCATTTATATTTTCTACCTTTCACCCATCCCAGACTTTTCTCTGTTCTTTGAGCCATCCATCTAGTATTCGTACAATGCATCTTAAGTGCCAGGCACTGTACTGGTTGCTAAGAGTCAACTGTGAAGACTCAAATCTTTGCAACAGGACTTATCTTCTGTTGGAGGAAATCGACCATTAAAGAGTAGTGTGTACACACTTCAGAAAGGTCTAGATAAAGTAAGAAGGGAGTGCCAGGGAGCACCTAGAGGAGGCAGCTAACCAAATGTGGAGAGTCCAGAGGAAATGATGCCTGACTCAGTGCTTGAGAATTTAGGATGAGTTTTCAGTTAAAGACTAGGAATGGACTATTCCCAGCAAAGTACACAGGGAGTAAAATATCCCTTAGTGAGCAAGAGAAGGGGTACTTTATGATGAGAGGTCAAAGCATTAGGAAGACAGGCAAGCTCATTGGCAATTTGGGGAGGCTTGTTTTTGCAGGATTACAGGGTGGGCAATGTACTGAAGGAGGTAGAAGGTAGGATACACCTGTTAGCTACAATCCAGAGGAGATGACAGCAGCGGAATTTAGGGAAAGGCTTCTGGGGATAGAGTAAGGAATGGATTAGAAAAATATTTTGGACAAAGAACAGCCCTTGGTAAATCTATTAATTAGATTCATAAGGGGAGCAAAGAAAACTGTTAACCCCCTTTTTTTTCTCCTATAGTTCCTGACCAGTATGAAGCAAGGATTTCACAAAAGAACTTACAGCCAAAATCCCCGCTGCTGTAGGCTTAGAAGGCTTGATAGAACTACAGGAAGGGGGAAAAGGTGAGATCACGCAGAATGGGTGAGAAGCATTCCTATCATACACCTGGTTTGGGAGGGAAAGAGCATTCACTAAACAACCTATTATTTAGCAGTCACTTTTGTTTCCTGTACTTGAACTTCCTGCCCCTAAGTCTTCTGGGATCCATGGGTAATTTAAAATTTTCTTCCTAGAGAAATTCTTTCATTGTAAAGATACTCCAATTTTAAGACATACAACTTTTTCAGCATACACCTTGAAGTCCTTTTAACTTCTAACAAATTACATGTAACATTTTTTTAGTAAAAATCATAAAGTAATAGAATTTGATAGGACTTGGAGGTCATTTTCTCATCAGCCTTTACTCTGTAATTGAGGGAACAAAGACAGAGATAGGCTGAAATGCCTGGTCCAAGATCACATGGCCAGTGGTGGCAGTGAACTTCAGCAGGATCCATCCACCACCGCCTCCTGCCCCGCCGCACTTGGTGTTGTTTCTTTTAGTGTGTCAGGCCTTTCAAAGGCCTAGGGGTCATGATCAAGTCCTCTGTGTTGGGGGCCCATTTTAGATACTAAATTTAAACAGATTGTATATCATAATTTGGATTTGCACGTTCATTGATAAAATGTGCAGTGTCAAGACACTGTTTGGCACTGGCTTGTACATAGTAGGCATGTAATAAATGCATTTGGAATCAGTAAGTCCTACTGAGCAAACCATTAGCCAACTTTCTCTATTTCATTATAAAAGCTTTGTGACCCTTTAGCACCAGTTTGTTTCCTTAGTGTATTTGTGAAGTGATCTTAGACTATATTTTTGCATCATAGTTTTCTTTTCTTAGAAAGTATATGATGTATGCCTTTTTAGTACCTTAATAATGACATTTCTGCATTCATGTTGCTTTGTGCTAGTATTTATTTTCTGCAGTTGTATGACAGAATAATAAACACTTATTGTTCGTTTTTTTCCTCCTACCTTTATGACTAAATAGGAGATTAAGTGATATGTTGAAAAGCATGCCTTTGGAATCAGTAGAAGTGCTGGGCATTAAACTGAGGTCTTGACTTACTATTCATTGCAGTGTTCCATATGGTTCATTGTATTTATTAAGTGCATATATTTCTCCATCAGCCATATTGTTATTCAGCCTCAGCACTGTTATTATCTCCCTGTTAAACTGTCTGAGCAAGGAGGATTACATAAGAGGTGCATTTGTACCAGTAGGATGCAACTTGCTAAAACCTTTAATTCCTTTGGTGAGGAGGGCCAGATGAAAAAAGTAAAACAAGAAAGAAAGGAGAGAGGGAGGATAAGCAAGGAGAAAGAGAACTGAGTTCAAAGTAAGAAGTGATTGATCAGTGTACTCTTTTGACACCATGCAAAGGCCCATCCTTTCTCTATGTGTCCTGTCTTTTGTGTATCACATTTTTCTGAATGTGAGTTGCAGAGATGGTACAAGATCTCCATTGTCTGGCAACATTTCCTAATTGTGCTTTTTCCTAGAACCCTTTGGAGAAGGCATGGCTTCCAGAGAAGAGATTATGAAGAACACACACAGGGTGCTCAGAATAAGTCAGTTGGATGCACTTGAATTGAACAAGGCCCTGGAGCAGCTGGTGTGGTCCCAGGTTACTCAGTGCTTCCATGGATTTCAGCCAGGGCTGTTAGCCCAGTTTGAACCTGAGCTAAAAGCCCTCTTGTGGCTTTTTTTATGGCGATTCACCGTTTACTCTAAAAATGCTACTGTGGGACAGTCAGTTTTAAATATTCAGTACAAAAATGATTTTTCTCCAACCCTGAGATACCAGCCACCGAGTAAAAACCAAAAGCTCTGGTATGCTGTCTGTACAATTGGTGGGAAGTGGTTAGAAGAACGATGCTACGATCTGTTTCGAAACCATCATTTAGCATCATTCGGGAAAGCCAAACAGTGTGTAAACTTTGTGGTTGGACTTTTGAAAGTGGGGGGGTTGATTAACTTCTTGATTTTCCTCCAAAAGGGCAAGTTTGCAACTTTGACGGAACGTCTCCTAGGAATGCGGTCTGTATTTTGCAAGCCCCAGAACGTGCGTGAGGTTGGCTTTGAGTATATGAACAGGGAGCTTCTCTGGCATGGTTTTGCAGAGTTTCTTATTTTTCTCTTACCGCTCATCAACATCCAAAAGTTGAAAGCGAAGTTGTCTTTGTGGTGCATCCCCCTTACTGGTGTTTCTAATGGTGACAGCTCATTAGCCAACAGCAGGAAACAATGTGCTCTGTGTGGAGAGTGGCCCACCATGCCCCACACCATAGGCTGTGAGCACATCTTCTGCTATTACTGTGTTAAGAGCAGTTTCTTGTTTGACATGTACTTTACTTGTCCTAAATGTGGCACTGAAGTACAGAGTGTGCAGCCACTTAAATCAGGAGTTGAGATGTCAGAAGTGAATGCTCTTTAGTAACTAAAATGGTTTCCTCTGAGGAAAACTGTGTTATGTTTAAATCCGCAGTATTAGTCACCCTGAGTATACTAGTTAGGTGTCTTATGAGAACATGTGCTTCTCAGCCACTCTTTTGTCCTTGGCAGTCATGACTAAAATCTAATCACTGGAATTCACAGATCCTAAGTATATTGTATAAATGGCAATGTATTATTTCTTTAATGATTTCATTCAATTTTTAATGTCAAGAATAATGGACAGTTTTTGTCAAATGACTACTAACAATGCTCCTTCCCTGTGCTACTTCCTAGAAAAAGGTTAGATTCTAAGAATAAAAGGTTTTGGAGACTTTGGAATGAGCATGCATTTATTTTCAGACAGGGTGTTGTAACATCATAATCTGACAGTGGTAAGACCCTGTTCTTTTAAACCTTCTGATCTGATGGCCCAGTTGTAATTTTAAGCTTTTTTCTGAAGCCAGTTTATAAAGGGTTCAGTTGACTCCTTTCTCAGGCAGAATGATGGCCACCAGAAGCTGAAGACTTACATCTTATGAGCTTTCTGATGCCACTGGAATAAGAGCTGCTTTCTTCAACGCTCAGCAAAATCCAGAAGTTCGCTGCCATTGGTCTGCATGGGATTGTGTGCACATTCCTGAACCAGGAAGGAAAAATTCTGCTCCTGATGATTCAAATGTGGGTGACATGCCCTCATATAAACCACATGAACTTAAAGTAGGAGAGGAGGCAGAGCACTGAGAACACAGAGTACAGAGGTGCTGATACAAGGATGGTGGATGATGGGCTGGCAGACACAACAGGTCCCTCCTAGAGTCACTGTTTCCCTTGATACCCAAAGTCTACATGCAGCCTTAATATGTTATCAGTTACCTAGCCTGATAAGGACATTAATGAGTAACTGAATAGCGGTCTTCCATTGCAGATTTGAAAGGATTAAATAAAAGTCAATGAGATTTTGTTACACCAACAATTTTGTTGTAGTGTTACTTTGATAGTAGAATGAACTCTGAAGTGGTGCCCATATTGTCATAATTTTAACATGAAAACATTGTACTTATATGATAACAGTTACTGAAGGAGGGCTTTTTTCCCACAGATCCTAATGGTACAATATATATTTTTTTTTTTTACTTTTTTATTTAACTACTACTACCCTAGCAGGTGATAGCCCCCATGAGGTCAGGGACTGCCTTTTGCTCACTGGAGAACCAGAGCCTAACCTCAGTTCCAGTGTCCCAACACAGACACTTCGTCAGCTGAATGACCAGCCCTGACATCACAGATTGGGTTCTGTGGGGCAGGTGTAAAGGGGTTTGAAGTGCAAGACAGTCACTAGGGATCCTCATCTATGAAAGGAAAAGGCAAAGAAGCAGGAATAGGTAGAAGGAAAAGAACTGTGGTGCAAGCTTGACAGCCTTGGTGAAACCAGAGGAGAGCTGTCTGTCCTGACTGTCCTAGATCGATTATCCTGGTTTGGGCCTGAGTCCTCAGGCCTTTTTTCCTACACCTCTCAGGCACTGGATCAGTCCCCGCAACTCTGCCACAGTCCGTCCTTGAAGGAGGAGGTGGGTAGCTATCTTCACATATATTAATAACTGTCTCTTTGTTGTTTTTCTTTACAGTTTCTATTTTTTGTTTTTCTTTCTTGTAAGGATACTTGGTACGTAGTGTTCAACTTAGATTCCTTCGGTTATGACTGGTATTGTATATTTGAGTGCTGCCTCCAGGAACTCCACCTCACTGCAGAGACCCCGGCCTGCAGGCCAGCTTGCTGTGATAGTACAGGCTCCTTAGTCCCCACCTCCCTATGCACTTCCTGGAGACTTGCTTCTGTCCCCACTCCCCAGCGGCCTTGGGATGCACGGTTCAGGATAACTGGGTTATATTTAGCTATGTGATTTTTCTACTTTAGCCTCAAGAACCTCACCATCAGCTATATGCATGTCCTTGGGAAAATAACTTTCACACTAACATCTTTCTTTTCTCTTACATGCAACTTGTTCTCAAGTCAGGTTTGCTACTTGTGTCTTTAGTGTATCCATATGGCTTCAGTGATCATTTAAAATACTAATCTGTCCATCAAAGCTAACACAGGCCTGTCCAGCTTCCAACTCTGCCACCTTCGGTGCTTAGTGACTGTGCATTTCAGACAAGTTTGTTTTAACTTCTCTAAGGTTCAGTTTGATCAGGCTATGAAATGGGTATTCCATAGACTTGTTAGGACCATAATGGGAATTAAATAACTTTAAAAAGTTCAGAAATTACTCTTCATTCAAAAATTACTTATTGAGCCTATATAGGCACCTTCTGTACTCAGAGATGCACTCATGAGGAAAACAAAACCCTGTTCTGATGGAGTTTACATTTTTGGAGAATTATAGACAATAAACCCCATGTTAAGGTAATTTCAGTTGGAAGTACTCTGAGGATACTCTGAAGAAAATATAACAGGCTAGTGGAGTGGGGAGTGACAAGGGATTCTATAGTGAATTTGCAGCATGCCCTTGGAAGGTCTCTGAGGAGCCAGAATTTGAAGAGAGAGATGAATGCACGCTGGCCTGTGTGGCTCTGTTTGAGCATCGTCCAGTAACTGAAAGGTTGCGGGTTCCTTTCCCAGTCAGGGCACACGCCTAGGTTGTAGATTTGATCTCCAGTCTGGTCTAATACCAAAGGTAACCAATTGATGCTTCTCTTTCACATTAGTGTTTCTTTCCCTTTTTTCTCTCTCTCTAAAAGCAATGAGAAAATGTCCTCAGGTGAGGATAAAGAAAAGAGATCTGAAGGCTACAAGGGAGAAAGCCAAGTAGGGAAGAGGGCCAGGATGAGAAAATGGCAGGTGCCCAAGTTCTGAGATGAATCTGTTGCCCGTTGGAGGAACAGGAAGAAATCAAGAAAGAACAAAAGGGAGTGAGAGGAGGGAGGGAGGAAATGACGGAGGTAAGGTGAGCGCCCTGAGCCAGGCCCAGCAGGCCAGACTGAGACAGTATCTGGATTTATTCTAAGTATGAGGAAGCCACTGGAAGATTATTAAATAGAGAAATGACATGACATTTCATTTTTAAAGAGTTACTAGGGCTGATATGTGGGGAGAAATGAGTAAGAGCAAGAAAATCGGGTCAAAGTTTACAGCAAATAGTTTGAGCTGTGATTGTTACTGCTGTTAAGATTGTGGTACACTAACAGTGTCACTCTCTGACATGGCCAGTAACCTGGAAGTCAACCAAACCTTGAGACCAAAATATATTTGCATAGATTCCTTATACCAAAGCTCTACTCATGATGTTTCCCAAGTTCCCACTTAGAGCATTCTTCACTTTAAAGAGAATCCTAATGAACTTTCACCAACAAATTAAAAGAGGGAGAAAACAAGTAGAAGCAGATATGTTACAATAACAAGAAATATAATAAAACTTGGTATCAATTAAAAAGAGAACTTCTAAAATAAACCTATATCTAATAACATTTAGTGACATACAGGCTCTGAGTACTGACAGAATAATAAGTGTAGGTTAAAAAATGACCTTGGATCACCAATAAAAGTGACCTTATGTTTTGTATCATTTGAGTAATAAGGCTATGATATGAGTAGTGCTGTACTTGAAGAAGCCTTCAAAATATGTCGGCAAAAATGTTTTCATCTGGGACATTTGCTTTTCACAAAAAGCTGTTTGTCCTAACAGACTTGATAGGTGAAGTGTTTCTATATGAAGAAAATACATTTCAGCAACAGAACAATTCCAAACATACTTTTTAACCAAACCAGTCAGCCATCTTGTCTATAGAACTGATTCTCAGTGATTCTCTGAAGCTGAAACTAATGTGTAGTGTATGTTTATATTCATCACAAGGAAATGAATATAAACAAGTATTTTGCTTGTACCTCTGTTTTTTCCTTCAAAGAGTACATAAATAGTGAAACTAGATAGAATATGCCGACAGGTTTCCAGGTCATCTTTTATTTTCTCTCAGAATTTTCAAGAAAAAGCTTATGATTTAAAAATGTTTTTTAAAAAACCATTTTGTAAAATGACATTCATGGGATCTTGCCTTGAGTTGTTATTCTGGCAATTAAAATGAATCAGACAAGGTAGAACCAAGTCCCCCCTCCCACCACAAAGACAGGGAATCCAAAATACAGTACCCAATAGGTAGGTATCATAGATCACTCTCCTTAACAGTAGAGTAACTTTGACATCAACAGATTCAACTCATTCTTTTGCTGAAATCCCAGAACCAAGAAAATATTAATGTATGTAGTTAAACTGATTTTAGAATTAGATGGCAGTGGACATCTTCATATCCTTGACCGTAAGAATTTACCTCAAGGAACTGATAAGAATTTGGATACAGATTTATTGAAATGGTGTTCAATATGGCAGCATTCATAATAAAGAAATTAGTAATAATAATAACAATGTGACACAATACAAGTGCTCAACCACAGGGGAATGAAGAATAATAACAGTATAGCTATTTAATTGACTCAAAAATGTCATCAAAATACTATGGGAAAAGAATGTTATATAAAAATATATATGAATATTTTAATAAAATGGGAAAGTACTCAACATAATATTAAAGTGAGAAGTGGGATATTAAGTGCTTTATGATCTCAGCTATGAGGTACACAGGCACATATGTTTACAATGAATATCTCAATTTTTTAAAATTATTTTATTTAGTTTTAGACACGGGTAGAGGAGGAGAAAAAGGGAAAGAAACATCAATGTGTAGTTGTCTCTCGCACACCCCCTACTGGGGACCTGGCCTGCAACCCAAGCATGTGCCTTGACTAGGAATCAAACCAGCCACTCTGGTTCACAGGCAGGCACTCAGTGCACTGAACCATACCAGCCAGAGTTCAATTTTTTTCTTTATATTTTCTGTAGTTCCCAAGTTTTCTACAATAAGCATATCATACTTTTTAATTACACTAAAACAAGTTATTTCTTTAAAATCTGAGGGCCAATTTTGTTTCAGCTGAAAGAGAAAAGTCTGCATAGCTAGGAAACAAGTCTTTTAAATACGTGAATTTAGGACATAGAAGATCCTAAAAACCCTTTAATTCCTATTTGTATTACAATAAATAGAGCCTGCCTTTATGGCCACCCATAACTGTTGAAAAATTCTCAATTATCTCATGCATTTTAAGTTACATATTATGTCTGACTCCATATAGTATATAAATTTTTAACCACTTAGGAATATTTAGGTAATGAAAAGGTAAAAAGTTCCCACTCCCTTTTCCAAAAGTATTTGTAAGGTATTTATAAATGTACAGTATTTGTAAGTGTGGTTTAGTTACTTGAAAATATCTAGAACTAGTATACCATGTCAAAATAATTGACATGAATATTTTATATTATCAATTTGCCTAAGCCTATAAAATGACAATATTTCCTCAACTAAGAATCAAGACATAGAGTCTGACCCAGCATTTTGTATGCCTGCCAAATGTGGACACAAGAATGCTGACATTTCTGAAGCATTTTTATGGTTCGGTTGCACCTATAAGACATAATGCAAACTTGAACTTCAGCTGAGACTTTATCTAAATAGCCATTAATCTGAATTAGTGGAGCCAGGGGCTTTACTGTTATGAGAGGTATCCAGGATGGTTCCCTGTTAAACAGATCTCACTAAACATTCAGAAATGTTTAACATCCTTTCCTGAAAGCCTCTATTCATTTAAATCCACATCAATTTGTAAGAGTATCTTTTTTAACAAAAATTATAAAACACTACTGTATGGCTAATTGCTTTTAAAAAGCTTAGCTCCAGACCAAATACAAAGGGCAAATAAATTTGAAAGCAAGAACCCCATCCAATATTAGATGCGTTATTTCTTAATGCCTCTTCTCACATCTACTGGAATATGCCTTGATTTCAACTAGATGATTGTCCTTCTCAAACAGCAAAATAGATAGCTCAGTGAGGGCAGAGATTGTATAGAGATCTCTTCTATATCTC